CTTCTTCCAAGTGCGTGTAAGAGTGGGTACTTAGTCTTAAGCCTCATTACTTCGTATATCTTTGTTTGCTTTCGTGAAAATTGATATTGTGCTTGTGTTGGTTGGAGGAAAAGATTGAATCTTTGAATCGAGAATACTTGACTAAATGTGATTAGGAGTTAAATGCTTGCTCGTTTTGTGCTAGAGCTTGGTTTAGCTTCCTAGGGTTTTAGCTAGCATGACAATGTTCGGTTATTTGCGTGTGATTGATCATGGAGACTCCGGCAAACCAAAATCTCTCTTTCCCCCTTGATTTCTCTCATCTTCTTGCGTGCACTAATTGCTTTCGATTTCAATTTCGTAGATTAGTTTAGCTTAAATCAATCCCCTTCAAGCGAGTAGCATGTTTAGGACCTTTTTGGTTGTGTGTCTTTGACGACTAGATAGTGAACGAAGCTCCGAATGGCCTTCCTTTGAGAACGATCCGAGTCGGGTAACTGGTTACTACATGCCCAAAAATACTACAAACATACGCTTCGAGGGTGAAGCCTTCCGAACTGAGGGAAAATGATGCGGATAGGGCATTTGTTAAGGAATACAATTATTAGTATTATTCTTATTATTATTATTATTAGCATTTAATATTATTATTTAATATTTACTAGTTTGATGGACAAAATAGCCTTCAGGGTTTTGAGAGCTTTATTTGAAAAACTCACAGCCTTTTATATTAGATGCGTGGTTGGTATTGAATAAGAAATTGATTGGTCTCATCGTGTTTTGAGATTAAAATCTCATTTATCATTCCCACTTGTATGTAACCATTCCCACACATACTTTCGAGATTAAAATCTCATTTATCACTCCCACTGGTATGTAACCATTCCCACACATATGCTTTCATGTACATTTTTTTCCCTATTGTTATATTATTTCAAATGATTTATGTTTGTACCAAAAAAAAAAAAAAAATGATTTATGTATCATTCAATGCATACTGAGGTATTTTCTATCGAATAATAGAACATTTACATTTTTATATGTAGGCTAAATGAGGCCACATAATGTAAACATCTTTTGTCTACTTTTAACCTAGTTTCTTAATTTGTCTACTTGTAATTAAGTTGTAACCATATGCTTGTTACCTTATCCTGACAATTAAAACACTAAAAATCCACACTCCCACTTACATAATAATTTATCAACGTTCAGCTTAATAAACAAGCAGTTTTCAACCATACACCCACACAAAAAAAAAAAATAAAATAAAAAAAATCATTAATAAAAAAATTGAATAAAAAAAGGAAAAAAAAAGAAAGAAATGTTGATAACATTATTAACATATATCGACCGTGAGTTTACAACCAACTCAAAAGTGGAGCAAATGATTCTATTTCTCCAATACCACTGACAGTGTAAGCATCTTACAAAAAGCAAAGTTCCCTCTTTTGAAAAAACAATAGTAAAAACAATTGTTCTCACACAAAGAATTTATTATGTAAAGTAATATTTTCAAGAATATTGCACTGTTTATATGTTTGTGGACTAGGCCTTTAAAGAAATTATTTCAGTGTTATTACTATTAATAGAAGATTTTTTCTATCTATTCATGTATATTAATTGAGATCGTAATGAGGTTAAGTGGCAGGCTCGCATGCTTTGCCCTTTGAGATCCTATGTAGCAAAATTACATGTTTCGTCATTGGGCTTATGTAGATTTTAATAATTTACTTCCAATCCAAAAATAACTAGGTTCGATTATCCATAAATATGTTGATTATTTATTATGTCGATTATTTGTGGTCATGTTACATGTATTTATTGCATTTTAATATCATTTCTTATTATAACCATTGAATTGTAAATGTATTTTAAAAATTAATAACTTTTGTATTTTTTATGTTTTTACATATACAATATACCAAATTAATCATCTCTTGATTACTTTGACTTAACATCCATATTGTATGTATAAACAAATAAATTATATTTATCTTTATAACAATAGTAAAATTATTTTATAAATATTAATTTCAAAAATAAAATTATTTATCATTTAATATGTTTATATTTCAAGTAGTTATATGATATAAGTTATAAAAATTACTACAATATAGCACATGTAAACAGTAAATCGCACAATTAACAAGTGTCATTCTCAAATATATAATGATATATATATATATTTTGTAAAAAAATAAATATAATTTAAAATACTTTTTCTCGTGAATTTTAAAATTTAAGAATAATTTTTACACGGTGTTGTATTAGTAACTAATTAAAGGCAATATTTGTCTATGGATATTTGTCAAAAATTTTGCACACAACGTGGCAACTTGTCGGCCGTACACGACACACACATATTCACAAATCTTTGATCTCATTAGCGATTATCAAAAGTGCACTCACAAAGTGGAAGTTCAGTTGAACTTCCACATTAAGATTAGATTAGATTTATAATGGAATGTGATGTTAAAACGCATCCAAAATTGATACTAATGAATTAATAATGTACTATGTTATATATAAGATGTATAATATGTCTTACTTTGTGGGGTTCATTTATTCTATAATAACTTGTTCCCATGTAATTCGTAAATATCTCTAAAAAACAAATGATTTCTAGCAATATATATATATATATATATATATATATATATATATATTGTATTCTATAAACAAATGATTTCCACATGATAATTATCCAAGGAAAAAAAAAAGTTGCATCAATATATATTATTGTGTTTTCTAGCAAAAAAATTGGAACCAAATAAAAGACATGAAGGTATGTTCCATTTCTAGATTTAAATCAAATTAAATTGATGATAGTCATATATATTTGATAGAAAAAAGACCGTAAAGCGAAGTAATTAGTATCTATTTTATTAAATTGTTCTAATTTGGTAAATCTTTAAGTGCTTAAAGATTTACTAATGTTTGGTAAATTTACTTAAAGATTTGCTAAATCTCTTATCAAATATTTAAACTTTGAAGCACTTAAAGATGGCTAGAGAAAACACACTTAAATCTTTTATTAAATATTAGCTTTGAAGCACTTAAAAATTTACAAATGTTTAGTAGATGGTTAATTATCATGAGCCATCAGATGACACGACTTATGGAGTCGTCCACACTTATTCACAAATTATGTGTTGACACGTGTCCTGCAATAAATACAATTTGAATAGGTGTCAACACATTAAGTGATGAATGACTCCATAAAAAAACCATCCGATGGCTGCATAAAATTTTTGGGTGAATTATATCTCTACCTTTTAATTTGTGAATTGGGAATAGCATTAACTAATCCAAAAATACATGCAACAAAAAATATCTTTCTATATATACACACCTATATATTAATTGAACACTTATGTCTTGAATATTTCAAGATCATACATTAGATGAGTAATCAGATTTCACCGTTGGATCTCACACATTCACATAATTATGTACTTCAATTATTAATAAATATGATCTAATGGTGATAGTTGTATCATCTCTCTCGTGGTTCTGTCCATTTACAGGTTCTGGTCTATGTTGATGATCTGATTGTTTTCGGGAATGATACCACATCCAAAGCGGCAAGAGTTACTTGAGACGTTGTTTTCACATGAAAGATCTTGAGTTGCTTAAGTATTTTCTGGTTATCGAGGTTGCCTGAAATTCTTCTGCCTTATTTCTCTGTCAGCAGAAGTATTCTCTTGACATCACAGCTGAGGTCGTATTACTAGGGAGCAAACCAACTGATTTTTCATTATAGCATAATCATCCGCTCTCTCTTGCTAAGGGTGATCTATTGTCTGATCTCGAATGATATCGTCGCTTTGTCGGACGTCATATCTACCTGGTAGTGACTCGACCTGAGATGGCTTATTCGATGCATATGCTCTCTCAATTCACGTATCAACCACGTCAGGCTCACTGGGACTCTGCCCTGCGTGTGGTTCGATATTTGAAAGGCTCTCGTGGTTAGGGATTCATCTTCGTACTGACTGCAATCTTCAATCCTATGCATGGTGTGATTCGGATTGGGCGTCTTGCCCTCTCACTCGGCTCCCTCTTTCTAGTCGGTTTATTCAGCTGGGCCACTCTTCTGTTTCTTGGCGAACCAAGAAACAACCTACTGCCGCACGCTCCTCTTCTGAGGTTAAATATCAGACGATGACTACTACATTGTGCGAGTTGAAGTGGTTATGGGGACTATTATCTACTCTTGGTGTCACTCACTCTCAGCCTATGCGGTCACACTGTGACAGTCAGTCTGCGATGTATATTGCGGCGAATCCGTTTTTTCACGAGCGGACTAAGCACATTAAGGTGGATTGCCACTTTGTTCGAGATGTTGTTCTTCAAGGTCTCATTTATACTACTTATAATCCTTCAGGGGAACAGTTTGCTGACATCTTCACCAATGCGCTTGGGAAGCGTGAATTTGGTTTCTTTCTTGGCAAGTTGGGCATTCGGAATCCGCATGCTCCACCTTGAGGGGGGTGTTATTGTGTACATTTTTGTATTTACCGAATAAGCCTTAGATTATCTTTAGGTATCTGTGACCCTATTTTTGTCTATATATTTTTTATTAATAGAGAGTTGTATCATTCGATTGAGATGATTGTTACCACAATATTCTATTCATCTCTCTCGTATCAATAGTGTTTAATTTTATTTTATTTTTCTTTTATTTCACCTCAATAATTCAATGAGATATATTATAGTATGAGAATTTTTAAATCAAGGTGTAACTATAGCCTTTCTTGCCACTTTTAGTTCTCCGTTTGTGAGTACAGTTACAAAGCCATTTTCATATAAACAAATGAGTTAAATACATATTATTCATAGATACCCACTAATAAGTTCAAAATCTCCTCCATTTACATAAGTAGTCAGTGAAATGTGAAGCAAGTCACTACCGTATGTTTTCTCTTTTTGTTCTCTCTCTTTCTCATTTTGCAGTCCTCTGCCAAAGAATTTTCAGCATTTTTTGTGTGAACTTTTGTTAATCATTTTCTCTTCAGGTGATGAATTCTGAAGGCAACACCACCACAGTTACAGCCATCGACGAGCTTCAAAAATTTGACGGGAGTTCCGAATTTGATCGACAAGTTGTTTGCTCTGTTCATCAGGTTAATAGTTAGTACTCTTTTCTCTAGTATTTTTACTGTTGGTAATGAGTAACTAATTACATTTTGGACTTGAACATCTATATATAATCTGAAAGTTGGCAACTCTTGTCGGAAAAAACGTGTGATGGGCTCTCTTAAAGTTGGTAACTTTGTCCGAAAAATACATGTTTTAACGATTCTCAGCCGAATTCGAGCCTTACATAGACTTCATGAACATTTTTCTCGACTGAAAAAAGTTAGATTCTGTTCGTGTTGATGTTGACTTTATAGTTTATAAGCTGCATCAAGTTCTTTCTCCAACCCTTTTTTTT